CTCGGGGCCTTTGGTGCCGAGACGGCCGACGGCCGGCCGGTGAAAAAATCAATTCAGCTGGTGTCCAACTTCCCCGGCCTCGACAACGACTTTGGCAAAAAACTCTCGGCCAACGACCTCCTCTACTGCACGCCCGTCAGCGGATCACTTTCTTCAGCTACACAGGTCTACCCCGATGCCTTCGTGGACCAGCTTCTCACCTCGACCAAGGCATGGATAGCCCAGCAGGAGCCACAGAGGTTCGGCCGCTTCTTTGTGTACGCGGTTGCCCGGCCTACGGCTGAACCAGCTGCCTGGGACAATGTCTTTAAGCAGGTCGAGAAGAGCTTCGTGGGCAGCAACCGGCGGCCCTATGTCGTGGACCCAGAGTCCGCCTTTGGGAAGGAGATCCAGGACCTCTTTAGGATGGACGGCGTCAGGATTCAGGTGGCGAGCACCCCCACACAACGGCGATTCCACTCAGACCTTCCTCACGTGGCTCGTGGAGCCGCCCTGCAGTACAGTGACGGCTCGCGGCAGGTAGAAGTGGAGCAGCTCGACGAGGTCAGGCAGCCAAAGGGAAGATTCAGCAAACCAGTTCAATTTGCGGTTTTTATCTACGGCACCTCCCGACAAACAGAGGAGCCACAGCCGGATCCGCCGGACCCCGGACCTGAGGTCCCAATCGGCGGCCTCCCGACAGACATCACCTTTCCGGGTTGTGACAAAATCCCGATCGCTGTCAGGAGATCTGTGGCGAGGCTGCACGCAAACTTAGGGCATCCAAGTGCCCAAGAACTCAACAGGTTGCTTTGTCACCGTGGAGTTCCTAGTGCTGGGGTGCAAGAGTGCGTTCGCAAGCTGCGCTGCGCAACGTGTGAGAGACTGTCAGGACCTCAACAACCACGACCTTCAGCAACACCCAGCCTCCAAGCAGGCCAGTTCGGCGACTTGGTTCAAGGCGACTTCTTCTGGGTGAGGCTTTCGAGCGGCACCGCGGTACAAGTACTTGGCCTCTCCGACATGGCCACCGGCTACCACCAGGCAGCGATCCTCCGGAACAAGACGGCCCGGGACACCTACGATCTGATCCACTCTGCCTGGCTGAGACCTTATGGACTACCAGTTCGGCTTCTCTTGGACCCAGATCCACTGTTCCAAGGAGACTTCGAGGAACTCCTTAGCACCATCAATGTTTCGGTGGAGTTCTGCCCCGCGGAAGCTCACTGGGTCATCGGAGCCGTCGAGAGGCGCAATTGTGTGCTTCGTTCGATCCTAGAGAAACTCATCAACGACCACGCGGTGGACGACCTGGAGCGCCTCGACTACGTCCTCACCTCGGCCCTTCACGCGATCAACTCCTTTGTGACGGTCAAGGGAAGGAGCCCCTTTCAGGCAGTGTACGGCCGGGTGCCACGGATTCCTGGGGGCCTCCTGACCGACGACGGCGTCTTGGCACAGTCTGTGTCAGACCCAGGCCTGGTCGCCGAGAGGGTTCGCGCCGAAGCAATATCACACCTCGCCGCCATGAACGTGGACCAAGGACTCAAGCGAGCAATTCTCCGGAAGACTGCCAACCTCAAGATTCCGGACCTCCAGCCGGGCCAGAGAGTCGCCTTCTGGCGTTGGCGACGGCGAGGGCTTCGCAAACGTGGTGCTTGGACCACAGGCCGCTTCTTGGCCTACGACCCGTCGTACCCAGGGAAACAGTGCTGGATTCGGTCTGGCAACTCTACCATCCTCGTTGCCATGGAGCAGGTTCGCAAAGCCGTTGGATGGGAAGACTGGTGTCCGGACGAGGCGGACATCCAGTGCCTCAAGGGCGCCACCGTGGACCTCAAAAACAGCGTCTTCCAGGACCAACGGGGACCCCCTCCAGATGATCTTCTTCCGGACCTCGACGAGGAGCTGGCGGAAGCGCCAATGACGACCGAGACTCCAGCTGCTTTGGACGGCGGGGGCACACCAGTGCCGCAGTTAGTGGCACCAAGAGAGAGCACAACCGGACAGCCACTGCCACCTACCTCCACTACGAGGACCGACAACAACTACAACCTTACTTTGAGCCCGACCTACCAGCAGACCACTTACGTGCAACAACGGTTCGGTGACCCTACGCGCTCAGTCAACGCAGCTCCAAGAACGCCGAGGACACCAAGGCACACGAGGAGCAGGTCACCGGCACCGCCGACACGTCAACTACCTCAACCTTCGGAACAAGCTCAATTACCAGACGGCGCCGCCTACGACGACAACCTGAGGACAGCAGCTTTCGACAGCGCCGAGTACGGAAGTGCCGCCTACCTGGAGCCGGACGAAGAGGACGCCCGGGAGCCAGACCAACAACAACTACAGCAGATTCCTGTACTACCTGGCGGTCCTCAGCTCTTCGAACCACCGGTACCACAACAGGGAGCCGAAGCACCACAGGAACCACAACCACCGGAACTTGAACTACTACAACCTGCAGCCCCTGGGACTACGCCTGACACGGCACAGGCTTTGTCTTCACCGGGAGCCTCAGACCAGCAACAACTACAGCAGATTCCGGTACTACCAGGTGGTCCTTCTGCAGCTTCTTCAGCGACGTCGTCTCGGGCAAAAACCTCCGAAGTGGCTAGCTCTCAAGCGGCTTCGCTACCGGAACCTACTTCTACTTTGCCACAGAAGCGACCGTTCGACTCGCTGACAACACTGCTGGCAGACGGTTCAGAACTTCACCGAGTACCACCTGGAGAGGAGTATCTGACCGGCGTCTTCGGCCCTAGAACACGTCCCTTCTACGAGGCGTACCTGCAGAGTGACTTCCGTAAGGCCGACGTTCCGGAAGGGAAGGACCCACAGGAGAGCGACACAACCGACTCAGACGGCGACCCGACGACGACTTCAGCTACTTCTCGGCTCTCCCGGAAGGACGCCAAGCAGCTCGACAGAGAGATCCCTTGGACCACCATCCTCAAGGGACCCAACGTCGCCGACTACCTCAAGGCGATTGACAAAGAGACCCGGTCATGGCAGGAATGGCAGAGCGTGGAACCACTGAGCCACGAGGAGGCTCAGAAGGTGCTGTCAGACAAAATCCTTCTGAAAAGGATCCTGCGCAGCCGGGCTTGCTACAGAGACAAGTCAAGGGGCTGCGGCCCGATCAAGCCCAAATGCAGGATTGTCTGCTTGGGCCACGCAGACCCAGACCTGTTTTCTCTGAACCGTCAAGCTCCTACGCCGGGCCGGACAGCAGAGCACGTCGTCTTCATGATGTTGGTCGCCGGCTCGAACAAGGAGCTCCTGGACTCAGGCCTGGAGTGGTTTGGTTGGACGGCAGACGCCGCCACCGCGTTCTTGCAAGGGCAACAGCCGCAATCTGAGAGGAGCCTCCCACTCTACATGCGGGCACCCTCCGACGGCCTGATCGCCCAGACACCTCACTGGAAGGCCAAGCTCTACCTCATCAAGTCCAACATCTACGGCTTGGCTAACGCTCCCCGACTATGGAGCATCGAGGTGACGACTCGTCTTCTCAAACTAGGCTACGTCCAGCACTCCTTCGACAAGATGGTCTTCATGAAGAGAGACGACCAAGGACGCCTGATGAGCATCATAATCGTCTACGTGGACGATTTCTTGGGCGTCTACCGCAAGGACTACTGTATTGGAGAGGTCCACGAGGCGTTCGTTTGGGGCGCCCTCAACCACTTCAAGGTCGACGAGCCCCTCACCTTCAAGGGCAAGGAGCTCACGCTTAAACGGAACAACCGAGGCCGCATCACCCTGGCGATCACGCAAAAGGAGTTTATCACCGGCCTCGACAGCGGCAAGGTTACCAAAGGCGCCGACCTCAACGACTTGCTCAGCTTGGAACAACAAGGGGAGCTTCGCTCAGTGGCAGGCTGTCTTCAGTGGCTCTGCGGCCAGAGTCGACCCGAACTTTCGCCAAGCGTGTCACTGAACAGCCTGAACTCTAAAAGTACGTTGGGCAACTTGAAGTCCCTTTACTTTGCCCTCGACTTCGCCAAGGAGACCTCCGACCGCGGCCTCCTCCTGCCGGACGTTCCGCTGAACCAGGCCACCGTGCTCGTCTCCTACTCCGACGCTTCCTGGGCGAACTCTCCTGGAGACTTACGCTCACAGTTTGGACTGCTTGTGTTCGCTACTACACCGCAGGTGACGAGTACACCCACACTGGGCACCCTGCTCGACTGGAAGTCTGGCAAGAGCGCCCGCGTCTGCAGGAGCACACTGGCGGCAGAGGCCATGGCGGCAGACGAGGCAGTGGACAGGTTGCACTACACCAACCTCTACCTGACCGAGATCCTCACCGGTGACAAGGCCTACAAAACGAGGCCCCTGCTGAAGATGCTCCACGTGGTCGACGCGAAGTCCCTCTACGACTCCCTCGTCCAGGAGAACCCTCAGACAACAGAGAAGCGGCTCTTGATTAACATCAAGAGCATCCAGGACAGCGTGGATCCTGAAAGTATCCACTGGGTTCCGACCCACCTTATGAGAGCCGACGGCTTGACAAAGATATCGGCTGAGCTGATGGAAGGCCTTTGTCAGTGGCTCTCAGCCCCTTGGATAGTGCTCCGAGAGGTCAAAGAAAAAAAGACCAGTGTTAAATTTGAGCCTTCAGCTAGCAGTGCGTCTTGACCTCTCAGCGCTTCCTTCGTGGCCTTTCCTCTCGAGGCAGGGCCCCCTTGAGCTTCTTTTCACGTGAACCGCTTCCGCGGAAAACATGTGCGCATAGCTGCTTGTGACTTGCACGTCTCGCAAGTGCTAAGTCGAGACATACAACGAAGTTCTCGTGACAGACAGCAGGTCAGACCCGGAAAGCCCTGAGGATTAAAGGATCCCGGTTTACTAGATCCAAGCGGCTCTAGCTGCCTCATTCTCACCCTAGCCCCAAACTCCGAGACTACCAGCATCTAAAGCCGCCCAAAGAAGGAACAACACAAACCCGAAACCCCGAAGCCGGAAAGGGTAAACCCTCTGCAAGTCAGTCCATCCACGAAGATGCGCTGAGGATGGCAATCATGCGCCCTGCGGCCCCTCGGATCAGACTCCAACAGTTAATGGGGTCTAACGGGGTCTAATGGGCTATAGCACCTCAACATGTACTGCCTGCTGTGCCTAGGCTTTCCAAAGCTTGAGATTTAGGGTCTTTTGGGTCTAGGGCTTTAGGGTTTGAGTTTTTATTTGCAATTGGGATTACCCGGTTTGGGGTTCTGGAGGGTTTAGGTTTGTACAGGGCTGATGGGCTTCGGCCTTCGGGTGTAGTATCTTGGAAAGTCGCTCTCCAGTATGGGCTGATTGTTCAAGGCTCGGGTCTCGGCGACTAAGTGGAAGAACGGCTTAGCGGTCACGGCGCAACTGATGTGCTGCGATCCATCTCGAGCTTCTTCATCCGTTTTCTGGAGGTCTTCTGGAAGACCGAGATGCAGCAGCAGCGCTTCTCCTTCTCTCGGGCATTGAACCCGAGCTACTGCCACCTGGCTCGCCGTTGCCTAAACAAAGGTCAAACATGAGCACTCAGAACACTCCCGAACGGCAAGGTTTCCGAGCCGATTCGCGAGCTGATGAGTGAGTGACCTCTGCCGAGTGGGCTCGGGTAATTTGGGCACGTAAGCGGCAGATCCGACTGGAGTTGTTCGTAAGGCATTGCGAGTGTCATGTAGGGTGTTCCTGTCATGCCTTGCAGCACCTTAGGTTACCGCGGGCTGCCCCTCGCAGTTGCTTCTGAGCTGCTGTTAAACGGAGACATTTGTGTTGACATCGTGATGCTTGTTGGTTTTACTTAGGTGGGTAACCTTTAACCTTCTTGGGCGCATATTTTCCTACCTCAATTGAAAAGGTTACCTTTTTCGGGCTAGGGTACTCAGCCCCTGAGTTTGTGATCCGTCACACTGCAACAACAGCAACAGCAGCAACAGCACCACCACCACCACCACCACCACCACCACCACCACCACCACCACCACCACCACCACCACCACCAGCTGCTACTCCAGCGATGGGAGCTTGTGCTAGACCTGGAACACAATTCCAAGTGACATCTAGCCGAAGTAGGAACCGACAAGTCAGCACCGAGGTTTCGATCGCTCCGATCACATGCATCCAGCGACAACCTCAGCTTTCCATGCACATCGTTTCTTTTGCCAAGCTCTGAATCTGATTCCTTGGAGCACGAAAAAGCCCAGGTTTGGCGCGACTAGCTTCTTCAGCTCCTGCCTCAAGGCCTGGACGGTAGCCTTCCCAGTGGAGAGCGTGCAAGATTTCGCGCTGAAGTCATGGTAAGCTGATTCTTGAGCTGTCAACAGTTTATTCAAGAGTTGTTGTCAGCACGACTCGTGCTGTTTGTCGCGACTGACCACGTTCTTCATGCCCGGTTCTGCTGTGGCTGTTGGGTGCCGACGCACTTGCGTCTCTTCGAAGTGAGGCAAATTTTAGCACGTGACGGGCCGCGCCAGGTGTAAGTGGAGAAGGTTCAACCAGAGTTTGGGCGGGTAGGAGGAGCTAGTCAACGTGTGATCGAGCATGCAAAGGCAATTATTGCTTCTTTGTTTCCTCCTGAATGCAGCATTGGTCTTCCTTTCATTATGATCATGGTCAGTGATTAGCGTGGTCATGGCCATTAACACGGCATCTCCACTGACCATACTGTATGCCATTGTATTCCCATACTATTTCCACGTAGAACATATATTTTGGCAACCTCATGATGTTGCTGCTGCTGCGGGGCGGGTGTTGCTACCCCTCCTCCCCTCTCATCCTACTCCTCTTGCTACCATAGCTTGCTACCAACCACAACCGCCACCATCATCATGATCGCTGCCAAGCGATCTCAGTCCTCGGAGGCCTTTCGGGGCTCCGAGTCGCAAGTCCGGGACACGGACAAGATCCTCGCCGCGGTGATGGCTGGGGCGGCAGCCCCAGGTCTTGGGAGGGTCGGAGCCATGGAGGGTTGTGGGTGGTAGGGGATTCAAGGCTGGAGGGCTTACTGCTGTCTTTTGTGGGTTAGGGTGGTGTAGGTTAGGATTTCGGATGCAAGTACGGTAACACATCTTGCGATTGCATGAACTCCTCATCAGAGTGCAATGATAGGCTTGGGGCTCTAGGGCAGTCAACTGAGTCATGCAGCACCTCCAGGCGTGCTGTGTGTTGTTGTCGAGGGGCGAAGTCTGGAATTCAGATGTCGTGTTAAGATTTCCGTCCTGATTGCCAGGCTCAGGAAGGCGTGGGATCTGCCTCACATGCAATGGAAGGGGAGAGCCTGTAATGACGTGGCCGCGCCCCTCTGATGGAAGGAAGCGAAGCGGACCGGAGCAAGTCGATTTCGGATGACACTCAGTGCTAGAGTCCGCATCTTTGCGGGTGCAAGGCCAGCTAGTATCTCATGGTGCGCAGATGAACATGTAAGAGGCCAGATCAAAAGCGTGGAGCTACAGTGGACGAAAGTGTCTAATGCTGTAGCGGCAGCATCAGCACGAAGACCACCAGCAAAGTAGCATAGGGTAGTTACTAATTAGTAGTAGTAGCAGCAGCAGCAGTTGTAGCAGCAGCAGCAGCAACAGTAGTAGCAGCAGCAGCAGTGGTCTGAGTATCCCCATATCATCCCGGTACGTCCATAGAATCTGTAGATGCCAAGTTCTGATTCTGATTATTACAGCCTCTTGGCTATATGGCTGTGACAGTGCGCACGAACAAGTCGAGGCCGCATCGGCGCTCTTCCAGTCGCCGACGCAGCTCATTGAGGCTGTGGAGGGTTGAGTTCGGAGGGTTCGTGGAAATCTTAGGCCACAATATGATCGATATGGCAGCCAGGTGTTGAAACGGAGTGGACCGTCTGGTCTGCTAAGTGGGTTTCTTACCCACGACGATTGCATTGAGCAAGATGCATCAATGATGCCAAAGATCTCAAGCGAATTGGCGTCTGATATCAAGTTCTGGGTCTGTTGTGTCGTGTCTTCCCAGCGCACCATTCGGGGTTTCATCTAGCCATTTGCTGTACTCCTGCGAGCCGTTTTCCGCATTGAGTTACCGCATATACTGCAAAGCGTGCTGCTGATTGTTTTGATAGGATATGAGTTCAGCATGAGTTGTTGTGCGAAGTGGTGGCAAGCAGTGGCGCGGTGTGGGTGTGCTCATCATGCTACCTTCAAGTCCCGATTCTTGTGCGGGCGATGCCTGAGGATCAGCAGTGTAGTACTTGTATACGGTAGAGACTGCATCAACTTGGGCATCGACTTGACCAGAGGTGACACTTCGGCAACCGAACACCATGGATATTCTAGCAGTGTTGCAACTGGGAAATTCCCTGCGGGTCTGCATCAAGCACAGGGCTGCACTGCGGTGAGGTCAACCAGTCGAACCATGGATCCTCGATGTTTGCGACAGCCAGGCCAGCCATAAAGGGCCAGTGTAATCTGCCGCATATTCCATTGCTCGTGATTTTTCGGGACGGCAGTTTACTCCAGCCGGAGATATCCGAAACGGTTCAACAGCATGTTTGTGACAGTGTCGGTCATTGTCGGTTTCGGAACGGAGTTGCACCGAACGGTCTTGGTCGATAGGACGCAGCCTTTGCATTTTCGGGGCCATCCGCGTCCAAGAATGCAAGGTACCACAAGCAGAAAGACAATAGCTCTGCTGATTTCATGCGCTCTTGCGACAGGAAAGTCATCTCCCAGAATGGCATATTGGGGCTCTATCGTGGCTACTCCATGGGCGCCACTCGAGAAGGTTGGGAAGCTTTCGGATACGTTCGATGTCGCAGCCCCAATCCGTAACGCTTGACCCCCAGAGTAACCGTGAAAGGCATATTCTGCAGCTCTTACATTGCCATCAACCCTTCGATCAAGACTTGGCTGCTGCAAGAGCGACCTGCATCTTGGCGCGACTGATGGAGCCACGAATCAATCGCAATAACATGTTGATAATTATAGCGATATTCACCACCATCATCATAATCATAGCCACTTTATTACGACAACCACGAAGAAGACGACTCCTGCTCTTGCTCCTGCCTGCTGCTGCTAATGCTACTGCTGCTACTGCTGGTACTTCCTCCTCCTCCTGCTCCTCCTGCTCCTCCTCCTCCAACTACGACTACTACCATTACCACTTTTACTACTACTACTACTACTACTACTACTACTACTACTACTACTACTACTACTACTACTACTACTACACTCTACTCAACTCAACTCTACTCTACTCTACTCTACTCTGCTCTGCTCTGCTCTGCTCTACTCTACTCTACTCTACTCTTACTCTTACTCTTACTCTTATCTACTCTACTCTACTCTACTCTACTACTACTACTACTACTACTACTACTACTACTACTACTACTACTACTACTACTACTACTACTACTACTACTACTACTACTACTACGACTACGACTACGACTACGACTACGACTACGACTACGACGACTACGACGACTACTACGACGACTACGACGACTACGACGACTACGACGACTACTACTACGACTACTACTACCACTACTGCTACTACTACTACTACTACTACTGCTGCTGCTACTACTACTCCTCCTCCTCCTGCTGCTGCTGCTGCTACTACGAAGACGACCACAACTACAGACATAATACTCATCCTCAGCATAATCGTAACATGCAAGACCCCAATATCTTGACTTAAATTGTAGAAGGTCCCACTTGTAAGCTGCTGTGGGACCTCAGAGCCACCAATGCTTCGCAGCGGTAGAGGCGGAGTCTGGACCGGGCCCCCGAGCCTCCATCCCATCCCGTCCTGAAATGAGCCCGACCAGGACAAGACAGCAGCAGGCTACTGCTCACCAAAAGGTTGCGTTTTGTTTGTTGAGGGCTGAGGAAGGGAATCTCAAGCTTCCCCGGAGCTTGCTCCGAGGAGTTGTCTGAGGGTGCTGCAACTGCTGTGGCCTCCGCAACTGGGCTGATAAGACGGGTCTTTGCTGGTGGCTTCGAGGAGCTCAGAACATTTTGTTTGACTACGAGGGGGGGTTTGTAACCTCATGAGCTCACTCCGGAGCTTGCTTGCGGTCCGAAGTTCGGGGCATATATATATATATATATGTATATATATATATATATGTATATATATATATATATATATATATATTGTGGCCTGGACTTTCTCCCGCCTAGGTTACGAAGCCAAAGCCTTCGCTCTGATCGCTTCTGAGCCTCAGGAAGACAAAAAGGCTCACATCTTGAGCCTTGCGGGCCTGAGGGAAGTGGCCCCCACTTCCCAAGTTGTCGACCCAGACTTTGAATTTCGAGTCACACGCTCTGTTCCAGGTTGTCTCCGGGTCGTTGGGAGCTGCGCTGTCCCATCCAGCAGACACGCTGAAGACGCGGTTGCAAGCGGGAGTGACTTGGACTAGAAGTTGATTGCATTAAGCGTCTGATTTCGGACCGAGCCTTGACTTCAATTGTCTTACATGCATCGTGCTTCGTACTAGTTTGGGACAGCGCTCGTCACGAGTCGGAACAATGCCTGGACTCTAGACTGCATGCCTTCACCAGACCGGCCCAAGCAAGCTCCGAAGCTACATCTGCTTCGTTGATTGGTCACACCAAGACTTTGCATACGAGACCGCTGAGGCCCTGCCTGTCCGCCCCGGAGAACCTGCAGAGGTCCTTAGTCCATGTTGGGGGTATGGGGCTGAAGGCTTGAGGAGTGTTAAAGTTGGGCATGACGAGGTTGCAGTGAGGGTTGCGCCTCCGGCCTCTCATGTGTCTTTTGCATGAGGTCTGGCAGCTACTTCGAGCTAGGATTTTGGGCTTGAGAGCTGCCGACAAGCTTGTAAGTACTCGTACAACTTGTTGGAGCTGCGAGCCTCGCCGACCTCCCATTTCAACGCCATGACCTGCTCATGTGTGCCTTTGGGCAGCTGCAGTGATGATGTATTTACTTGTGGCAGAACTATGCATGCGTACGTCTATGTATGTATATCTATGGGGCACGTATGTACGTATGCATGAGAGAATGTATCCACACATGGTTTTACGACTACGAGTGTATATATATATATATATATATATATATATATATGTATGTATGTATGTATGCATGCATGCATGCATGCATGCATGTATGTATGTATGTATGTATGTATGTATGTTTCAGATATGTATTTACGTATAGACATATTCATATACACATGTATACACGTGTGTGCGTTGATGCACACGATGCATCCATAAAGATGAAATTCACATGCGCGCGTACCACTATGATTTTATCTGTGCATCTGCATGCAGCGTTCCTGCCAGTATGATTTCATATTCAGACTGCACCGGTTTACACCTGCATGCGCACATGTATCTACATATCTGCCCCTTCGTCAAGCTGGGCAACTCCGGTGCCGGTGTCTATGTTTGTAGATGCACGTACGGTACGGCACACAGTGTACATGCAGACAGTGCGGACGCATGCGCAACCACATGCCCCGAATCCGAAACCTGAAACCATTGTAGGAACCCGAGAGGAACCCCTGTAAGAAGCTTCATTGGCAACCTTTGGCGTGCATGCAGTGCATGCAGCTACTATATGGCTGCCAGGCGACTCGGATCCGTGGACCTTGGGACGCTTTGCAGGACGCACGGGTTTAGATGTTGCCGGGTTCAGGATCCAAAGGTTCAGGTATTTTGGTTTTGGCGCAAGAAAAGTCATTCTTTTGGGGCGCGGTGTGCAAAGACCGGGGGTCTTTGACAAGTCATCATGTTCTGCCAACGTGCATGCAGCTAGAAAGTCAGAAACTCCAAAACCGCTGGAAGAAGATCAAATCCTTTCATTTTTTGGGTGCATCTCTTGTGCAACAGAATCTGGAACCTTCAGGCCTTAAACGTCAAAGCATGATCTCTGGCAAGAGAATACAAGAGGCAGGGAAAGCCGCAGGAGACTGCATTTCTCGTTTCGACGGTTGTTTCTGACAGGGCCGTGATACACTGCAGATATGCTCGGTGGGTCAGCAGCTAGACTTTCAACGAGAACCATCTCCAAAACCGCTCACACAGCGTTTGATTCCGCCGGGTATTGCCAGACAAGAAAGCAAGGTAGTTCGGACGCCAACTTGCCTTACGTATATTCGTACCCACGGAGCGAATGTAAGGATCGTGAGAACTCGTAGTTTCAAACAATGTCGTTTGCCAGCTGCCAGCGTGTCATATTGATACTGGTGGTTTGCATTCCTTGAGTCCTGCCATGCAATGACACGCTCGTACACAACAGAAATGACAACAATTCTTAGAAAAGCGAGATACGAAAGTGAACGCAAGTTTAGCGGCAGCTGACGAAGTAGGAAAGGGGGTATGGACCAGGTATGGACTGACTAGACGAGACTCGTCGCATGATTCTGTGACTCACCGATAAGAGTATGAAGCCACATTCTTTGGCGCTCGGAGGACCTTCGCCAGAAGGGCAGCCTCTGGTCACAATGCTACGCAGGCAGCCGGGGCTGTCGCAGTCTGCTGCACAGGCTTTGAGGAACCTCTGTATCCGAGGTCTGTTTTCCTGAGGTGACCAGCTGCAGGGAGTGTCCTTATCCTTGCTTTTTGAGAGCCGACACCCTGCTGTGGAAGGTTTCTCCTCGCGGCTCTTTCGTGTGGTTTGCTGCACCTACATCTACAGCTCAAGCCTCAGATCGGAACCCAAGTTCTTGGCTCTCAGCCTGGATGTCGTAGCTGAGTCTCAGGTGTGTACCGTGAATGTCTACCCGCTCGCAGTTCAAGTAGGACTGATGCAGAGCTTTAGATCCGCGCACAGCTCAGCCCATCACGCCAAGGCACGCTGACAGATGCTTGCGTCTCTCTTTGTCGGTCCAATGCCGCGTAGACCGCAAAGGAGAGGTTTCCTCTGGAGAGGAGTTTACCGGATTTGCCGTTCATGCTTCCTCTTCGAAGTCAACAGTGGGCAGGAACAAACCTATGCCTGGGGCTTCCATGGCTAGTATCACTCACACATAGAGGCAGTATGATGCATGGTGCCTCTTAGCTTTCCAAGGTTGCTAGAGAGAGCACTTCCCTCACGAGTGCTTCTCAGAGTTGGGGAGCTCTTGTGTTCTGAGGTGCCATCACAGCTTACAGCACACAAAGGGAGCTTTTAGTAGTGGGCCTGGTGGAGGCGAGGCCCCGAAGGTTCGAACGCCAAGGATGGCCTCACTCTGCGCGGCCAGCTGCAGCTTTCGCTGGACACGGTCGCGGAGACGCTCTCATGAGCCGATGTGGAGACTTGCAAGCATCAGTTTTCCCCCCATGTTGTTGTTGGCGTAAATGGCGTAAAAGCTATAGAGCTTCCGGTGTGCAGAAGCTTGCTTGCCAACTTCCTGACTCCTCACTGTACTTGTCCATTTCGGAATTTCTGAATCACATGTCGCCTGTAGCGAAGCTGACAGCTGTCATAATCGCAGCATGTCGGTCCTGTGTTCGTAGGCCTCAGATCCAGGCTCATCATCCAATCTGCTTCCGTGCTGTGAACGCCGTGCCTGACCGTTTGTCCGCCATCTCGTTTTGATTATGGTCCTCACTTCGTGCATGCCACAAGACGTCGTGAGGGGCATGTGATGCTGATGCGTGTGTGCAACTCTGGATGGAAATGTGGCGACGGCTTGCCAATACGTGCAGGACTACGTGACTTACTACACCGGGGATTGCTGCACATCAGCTGTTGGGTTGAGTGCCGCTCCAGGCTCCTGGTGGTGCTGGTGTTTCTTGTGCTTGCGAGGGCAGGAATGTAGCTAAGGCAGCTAGTGGTCAGGTAAGAGAAAATGGTTGATTAGCAGTAGCAGAGTATGAGTAGCAGTGCTGGAGCACTGGAGAATCAGCATGAAGCGTTGTCTGCAGGCCGGGAAGCTTCTTCATCGACTGGTGTGGGGCTCCCATAGCGATTGCACTTGAAAGCGACTCAAGTTAGGCTGGTAGGTTGCGGAAGGTGGTTCTGCCATCGTCTTCTTCCTGCCGGGGGGTGTCCGCGACAGTTGATAGCCAACTCTCCTGTCACAATTCTCTGCGTGTAGCCCTTCGTACAGAAGCCCTAGGTCCTAGGTCGCCAGAGTCGTTGAAATCAAAGCTCCGACCCTCGAAGCCCTTCAGCCTCAGAGCCCTCGTTGACGTCCGTTGACCAGGTCCAACCTTGCCACGGAGGTTGTCAATTGTCAAATCCTGCATTGTTTCGCAGGTTGTTCCTTTGTCGAATCCACCATGGCATTACGACTTGGTGGTTGCAGGGTAGTGGTCTAGAGCTGTGGGGCATCATAGATCTGCCTTGGAGCTCACATCCATTTCTGGCAAGGGGATCTCAGCTGCCAAGGTTTCAGGGTTGCGAAGCAGCTGTGGGAAAGACAGACTACTTATGACTAGCTGCATTGCGACAGCGTCATGCTCAATGTCTTGATTTCTTGAGAAAATTAAAAAGTCCACGAGGACTGCTTCGATTCTGTGGCACACTGGAAATTAGTTGGCCAGGGAAATGGGAAATGGATGCGCCCGCTGCTCCGGGACCACTCCCAGGTAGATATCTTGAGATGTTCTGCGCCAATGCCGGACAGATCAAGAGGGACGCCACAGGTTTTGCGCAGTCTCTAAGCCTAATTTTTGAACCCCGAACACCGAACACCAATCTACAGCTGGACAGCGAGTGTCAGAGTGATTCGGGTTCGTGCCCCTGAAGCTAGAGTTACCCATGTGCCGTACCCGGAAGAGCCATAGGTTTGACGAAGCAGCCAGTCCGGGGCGGATTAGAGTTGCCCGCCCATGCTGTTGGTATACTGCTCCTAGCTCGATGGGCTGTGGCGCAAAAAAATTGGATTTGGACAAGAGCAGATGGGTTTAGGGGTTTCGGGTTCAGGCTGAAGCCAGGCCTGGGTTCAGAGTGTTGAAAGCATCTTCGCTGGTTGAAGTCTCTCTCGTCTCCTCCCCTCTCCTCTCTATCTGCAGCATATTGATGTGTCATCATACAGATATTGATAATCTAACATCGCATATCGCATGTTATGTTTTTCTTTTGATGGTGTTGCCTGGTTGTGTAAGAGAACACTATATGTATGTTGTGTCTTGCTCGATGTTGTTTTGTGGGATTGCAATGTTCTACTACATTATGCTGGGGTACATTGCAATGATTTGTCGTTACGTTGCATCACATGGATGCGACATTGTATTCCACTGTCTCATACTATGTTATGTCAGGCTATGTTGTTTCTTACTATGTTATGTCGCATGGTGCATACTCTAAGACATCATTATACTGTACTCTACTCGGCTCTACTATACTATGCTTCACTACACTTTACTGAATGAAACATTGGGTTATCCATGACGTATGGCATAATCTTGATGTTGGTTCTAATCGTTTGTCGTGAATCTTTTTCGCAGCTACCTTCAAGGTTACATGTGTGGCTGCAAGCTAACAAAACCTGGTGCCCGACGTCCGAGTTTTGACGTCGAAGGTTCCGGAACAGAGCTGACCGTTCAGTTTCGCTGTGGTTCCGTGCAGCCCGCCATGCATCAGTCACGGGGGAAGCCTGTGAATGGTTCATCAGCAGCAAAGTTTACTACCACTCCTGATGTTTATATGCTTGTTGATGCCTTTACTGTTGCCAGCACTGTTATCCCATCATTCGACTGCTTGTTGTTAGTTTCATGTCATGTATGATTATTCATTGCCTTGCTTTTAGTCTCACCGTTATATACGTTGACGATTGACGACCACGATGACGACGAGGAGGAGCACGACACCTAATTCTAAAACGAGCATTCTACTCGTTATCATCGTGATCACCATCATCATCACTATCGTCATCATCTGCATCATCAACGCCTCGTCGCCATCATCATCATCATCACCATCATCATCATGGCACTGATGCTCATCCTCATCCTTGTTCTCGCTCTCATCCACACGATTTGCGTCCTCCTGCGCCCAGCATCTTGATAGTGATAGTAAATAAATAGAGAAGGAATTCGATTCGCACGAAGCCTGAAGTTTTGACACGGACCACGAAGAAGTGTGACTTGAGCTGGAGTACCATCTTCGTACTGCAAGCTGACTTTACGAGTGGCGCTTTGTTTAGAAGCCTTCCAATTTAGAAGCCTTCCAGTGACGGATGCCAGTGCTGCAGGGTGCACTTTGGGCCTTGTTGGCCCCCTTTGCCAGTGGGGAACATGGACAATATATGCCCAGGTCTGAGTCCACGTACAACCCACAGTCACTCTGGGACCATTGAGACGGTTGGCACAGAAAACCCTTAATTCTGGCCTCTGCTCGATGCCCTCGGGTTAGGGCCTGGAAACGAGACGAAATTAGAAACGTAGCCCCCTGCATGTCAAATTTGAGGGGTTTTCGACGCTTGAGAACACCCGAATCAAGAAACTAACAGCAAAGCCAAACAAAAGATTATTCCAAAAGGCTGGGTGCCCTGCATGTCTTAGCTAGAAGGCGCTTTGCAGTCTTGGCTTTTTTTGGTGCTAACCGGCTGACGTGGCCCCAACGTTTCTTATCCAACCATGTCTTGTACAGTGATTGCACTGTACTATGCACGTGCTGCAAGTGCTTTCTCATTCTCGCTGGGTCTCGCCAGCGGAGGCAGAGGATGCAGCAACGTCATATTCTTTAAAACAACATTAAGCCGTGTTCACTGAGCCGTGTTCAGAGTGACTCTGACACAGACGCGATGTGCCGCTCTTTCGGATGATCCCTGATTTATTGAGTAGGTGAGGTCTTTTTCTCAGTTGGTCGAGCTTCGGGCTACGGACCTTTATGAGAGATTCCAAGGCTACAGAATTGAATTGGTTTTGGTGTCCACCCCTGCACGAACTCTTTCTAGTTTTGTGGGTGCTATAGGAGCATGACAGCTCAAAAGACAACAAGTGTCGAAATCGTTGTCGTTGAACCGTTGAGCGTTGAACTGTGAAGCCAGAACCTTAAACAGCCAAATCTTCGTCCAGCCAAGGGAGGCTGAACCGAGCATTCAACTTACCAAAACTGTCCAGCGTGAAGATGGGTCTCCCAAAGCTATCATGCTCATTGCATGTGTTCGATTACAGTACAAATTAGGTGTGGCGTTTTTTTTGGGTGCTGAGCTACAAGGCTTGATACCAGGTGAAGGTCGAGTTCCCTAACTGTAAGGCACTTTTAGGCAGTTTAGGGTTTGGGTTTAGGGTTCAGTAGTCGGGATCCATTCGACGAGTCAGCAAGTACCGCCGATAGCTGTTCACAGGTTCTCTGGCAGCGTGCGAGGAAAAGACTGAGGGCCGGAGACGTGACGGTACAAAAAGGGTATATACTATAAGGGGTACTATAAGGGTACTATAAGGGGTACTATAAGGGTACCATAAGGGGTACCACAAGGGTACTATAAGGGTACTTGCTATAAGGGCACTATAAGGGGTACTATAAGGGGTACTATATAGGGTACAAATTACCGCGTAGGATTCGGACTATTTCAATCGCGATCGTCTCACTCCGAAGTTCCACGGCGTTGAGTCACCCTTCTCGGTCCGACAATCGTAGCACACCTTTCTGGTATACGTACATATATATATATATATATATATATGCTACCCCCCCCCTCAGGTACCCAGGTTTTCGTCTTTGTGCTGATAGCACGAAGGAAGTCGGACAGAAAAGGCTGCAAGTGCACCCGCGTGCTCGCGATAAGCCGACATATAGTACTAGTAGTGAGCGAGTGTGACAAACTGCAGGGTATGGCGAAGCAGGCCTACTGAAACCCAGTAAGAGAAAGAACTTTGCACGGCATAGAAAATAGAAGTGATACTGTAGCATCCCCAAGGCCATGAACGCAGATTTCGGATCAAGGTGGATAGTGGCTATGTTTAATTGGCTGTCGTTATGGTTTTTTACACACGCAACAATGTCATTGCTGTGGTGGGTGTTGCAGTCTCTCACATGAATTGCTGTGTTCATTGGTTCATACATCCATATATGGAATAAGCCTAAAGCAGTGTCATATAGTGTCAGTATACTTGTCAAAACCTTCAGTCTCCGCAGCACTGTACAATGATTCATGCGTGTCTGTCAAATTATCAGTCAATAGCGACAAAGTATGAAATCGTGTTTCACGACGGTGTGTGTAGGCTTCGCAATTGTTACTGCAAGTATAGTCTCCATTGCCTTAGGAATCCGATCTCCGTTTCTTTTCCCAGTCATGAAACTGCTACATGTTCTGTTCTTCTATATCGAGCTCAAAATGTCAAGTGTGGT